ACTACTACTACTACTACTACTACTACTACTACTACTACTACTACTACTACTACTACTACTAACTGTTTTAGATTTCCTTCATAGCATAGAAATAGCGTGTTTCTTCTTTTTTTTCTTCTTGTGTGTGCATTTGTGCTTCAGTTTTCTTGCTGACCTGTATTTTATTTCTATTTAATGCTGATGTTAACTGGCTGCCTGGCTCCGCTAGCCCCTATGGTTATTCCAGACAGCTAGTACTCCAAATTTTACTTTTAATATTTTCATTGAACATTGTAATTTTTTTTAGCAAGAGTGAGTACAAATTAAGATTGATTGAATATTTCAAGATAATATGTATAAGCTGTTACGGACACCATAAGAATTCTGCGACCGTTATCTCTCAAAGCCTAACTACAGAGATTGATTTCTCTTGATTCTAACGAATTTTCAGACCCTTCACCCATGACTTCCCCGTTGAAAACAGACAGGAAGAGATCTCACAAGCTACAGGAATATCGCTCTAAAGGCCCAATAGCAAGCACTGACTTGGACTATAAAGAGCGATAACAGCACGACAAGGTGTACGTCACAGGGTAATAATGCTATGTTAAAAAAATATGGCGACTGGTACATTTACCCATAATTCTTAGCGCGCGGAAATATTAACAACGCTCATAAAAAAAAAATGTAATTTTGTCTGTAGATATGTAATTTGTTAACCCGCGGAGCACCAAGGAGTTCACAAGAACTCGTTCAGAAATGCCCGTGCATTCCAAGATCGAATTGGAATTTGGAAATGTTAGTTTTTGAGCAGAGGGGAAAACCGGAGGACCCGGAGAAAAACCTCCCGGAGCAGAGTAGAGAACCAACAACAAACTCAACCCACATATGACGCCGGGTGCGGGAACCGAACCCGGGACACATTGGTGGGAGGCTCCCGAAAACGCACAGAAAAGATTCTTGAACCTTCAAACCTAACACACATACTGCTGTTACTGAGTACAAGAACAAAATATTGCAAAAATATGTTTTTCTTCGTACTTTATGGGCTCTAAAGGCTCGCATGGTATTGTGGTAAAATGTACAGCCGCAATCTTTTTTCCAACGGAAGATTTCCTTTGTGTGCGTGGCTCGAATTCACTTGTAACTCGTGAATTGGAATAGCACGTTACGAGTGGCAGTGGGTGGTCACTTATCATTGTCCGGTGCTTCTTCAGTTGTGACTGCCCTGTGCTTACTTATCATTGACCTGTCTTTGTAAATCTTTGATCTGTGTTGATTAAGGGATGGAAGGGGAGGGGAAGCACTGTTTCTGACCACATTTTTTCCCTCTACTTCTAATGTATAGGATTTCGTATTTGGGCTTGATGGCTAAATGTTTTCGTGGTTCTCTTTTTTTGCATGATTTTGCTTTCTCTCTTTTTTTGTGGTTCAAGAATGCTCATCTCTTTACAGTGATGTATTCAGTTGATTAAGCATCGTTCTTTGCTGACCAAGTACCTGTTTTATTATTGCTTTACTCGAGTTTCCCTAACCTGTTGATGTTGATCGATAATAAGTAATTGCTTTACGTTGATTTACTACTGATCTGTATTTTCATTGTGTCAATTCCCGTTCTCTTATTTTGTTTATCGATTATCAACCCTGATCAACGTTGCCATAAATTTGAATGTACGTTTGGATGACAAGTAGAGGGCCTAGTTCATAAAAGCGACATGACATAAGAAGGACGGTATGTCGGTATGTTTGCAGTGTGAACATACTGACATAATAGCAACATAACAGCACAAACGTAACGACACAAGGGAAAAACATGATCTTTTACTTCTGTTTTTATGTTGATGTTCACATTGCCAACATAAGCGATTATGAAATTATTTTATTATGTCATTATGTCCACTATTGGTGTCACAACACCTTGTTGTGATGATAATGATTATGACGATGATGACGATGTCGTTATGTCGCTAGTGCGAACCAGGCCTAATTGATGACTTAATACCTTCTTATTCCATTATTACACTTATTTTTCAGGTAAATAGAAGCACCGTTGGTTATTACACCCCACTGAAGTGACTATTTAAGACGACGATATAAATAGTGAATATATTATAATAACAAGATGTACGTTTTCTTATTTAAAACGGTAACACTATTCACCCTCGATCACCCCACACAAAAAAATATTCACGCGCCCTGAAGAAAAATGAAATGAGATTAATATATTGTAGCTACACGAATTCAATATTTGTAGTCCCATTTTGTAATTCAACGGTTGATTTGTTCACATTAAAATACACACTGTGAAAATTGCTTGTTCTCCGAATGATGAGTTAATAAGTAAGTCTCTCTTGAGCTTCCTTGCTCCTTGCCCGCTTAGCTCTGATTTTTGTGGCATGGATCGGTTAGGAGTGTTTCTACTCCCCCCCGCCTGGATAGGATGCTAGTCAATCACAGCTTACTCACCAGCATTTTGTTCCCTAACAGTTCGCCTGAACCATTTTTACACCTCGGAGAATAG